CCACCCCCCCACCCCGCAATCATGAGCAGGGAGTCTTTGAGTTCTGTCTTTATGGAGAGTTATAATGGCTTTGTCCTTGTCACTGTTATCCATCGATTGCTTCATTTTCATTTTCCCACATTTTCCCCTCATGTTTCATCCTTGTGCCTTTTTGTTTTCAGAGTCTACACCCTGATCCATGTGGTGTCCTATCGCAGCTCAGAGAAAAACTACAAAGAGAAAGACGAAGTAAGTAATTACACTCAAAAGCATACAAATAATCATGAGGCTTGATTATGTTCGGCCACTACGTCACATGGGCCCCTCACATACCGGCAGTAAAGCAAGAAAATCAAACTGCAGCCGACTTAACACGATTAAAACAACAAAATTAATGAAAGAATAACTGCACAAATCCAAACTTCACAAACGCTAAAAACATAATAGCAGCTACATCAGGCTGTCAGACATGACAACAAACATTAAAATGTCTTCCTTTCTTTTTTTAAATACAAACTAAAGTATTCAAATTAAGCCTGGAGCTTCACATAGTACAGACCAACACAGCTGACGTTTAAACAGCTTTCACATACAGTACGGTTTAATCACAATATAGCAATTAAGTATTCGTTTTAATCGTTCTGTACATTTCAATCGATTTACGATGAAATGAAACGTTTTCATCTTGCTAGGAACAGTTCAAAACTTACCAGGGCCACAATAATTAATTAATACTTGAATGAAAATAACTAACTAGTTTCCATATGATTTTCAACAAATAGATACATTTAAAAATAACATAACAACATAAAAATTGAGAGCTTTTGGGTTTTACTTGCTTTTTGTTAGTTCAGTTACTTTTGTGTCCCTGCAGGGAAAAGAAGCTATTAAACCATGATGAATTCTTTATAGACTGCAAAATATTTAAAATAGTTATTAATTATTAATAAAATGGTTCGCATTTATAGAAGCATATGGCATTCGTAGACACACAAACGTGTTGTCTTATGACTTTGTTTCTTAATTAAGTGACAAAAAATGTATTTATGTAAACCAGATTCACAAATTATTAAAAAAGGTGAAAGTGGGTAATAATCAGTACTATACGAGAGAAACTGGATGTAACTGTAATGCACGTTTTTAATAATGCGCCATTGTGAAAAATGTTATTAATACTTGTAGAACAAACATATATGAAAGAAGTATAAACTAAATAATATAAACTTGTAAGCAATGTGTAATTTGTGTAATATTCACAACTATTACTGAATTTTTTTAAATACTAAAGAAATCTTAAAAATCTGATGATCGTACATGATGTTCTGACGAGTGCCCATTTCTGTTAAATTGTCTTTCTGGCATAAAGCTTTCCTTACAACCGTTACCTCTTAATAGCCAATTTGGGACACAAAACTTTTCTAAACCAGTAAACATGAGGGGGTATTTGCAGCGCGCAGTGTGGATCATTAAAAGCATTTACTGGAGACGGAATTGAAACGTCTGGGGAGAATAACATCAGCAGATGTGGTTGAAGCAATCAGACCTTTAACTTAAGTAAAAGTAGCAATACAAGAAAGTATTAGTCCTATCAGCTACTGACACAGTCACGCTCAAGGCTAACAGTTATGCCACAGACGACGAATTTAGCACCTCAAACCATTCCAAGATTCCACCAGTATGGTCTCAATGAAACCTGTTAACTGTCCATAACACTAATCCAGACACGGCATCTTCTCAAAGCTTAAAACATAGAGACTCCTGTATTTTGGAAAATGCTGATTGACCTTTTTCCCTGTCATCCAGGACGACACTGGTGATGACCACTTCATTATGGAGAACCCCGCACACAATGAAATTTTCCTGACAACTGAAGACCTGTAGTCAGAAACAAGATGTAGCTGCAGAGACGCAACAACAAGCCGAAAGTGGCATCATTAGCAAGCTTTTTCCCACCTCAGGGCTGTTTCCTCCACTGTGGTTCATTTTCCTCAGGTTTCACTGTGCATTAAACACGGTACATTCTGGTCATGATCATAGCACACACTGTCACACAGTCCTTGTAGACATCCCATGTCTTTAGCTTTCCATCACAGGAAATAATTTACTTTTTATCTATTATGTAGCAGCTGTTTTGCCTCCCGGTATAATCCAGCAGGGGAGGCCAAATGGCACAGGGGAAATCAGTCAGAACAGATCCAATAAACTTTGTTTGTCATTGCACAATGAATTATTAACATGTGAGAATGGGACCTAACACAATAATATCAAAGGATGGAGTGATTTTAATGATTGGCTGTTTAATTTTAATATAACTGCTTGTAAGATTGCTGTTTTTGCTATCAGAACTATAGTTGAATCCATCAGGTTTACTGATTTTGCATCTCACTATAAAACAGATTTTTTTTAAAAGCTCTTTGAATAAGATGCATTTTAAGTTTACTGAAAAATCTGTGTAAATCCTGTTATTGTTCTTCTTCAACTATTGCATCCAAATCAATAAAACTATAATACTGGGCTAGATGTAGAGAGGAGTATAATATTTTCACCTGTCTGGGTATTTATGAAAAGTGTATATCTAAATCCTTGGTCAATATTAAAATATTGACAGGTACTTGAATGTGCAGGAAACAGTGCCAGTAATGCAATATTTGCACATAGACTGTTGTTAAGAAATTCTTTTAGTTTATTTTATATTGTGGTGTAATTAAACTGTGTTGCCCTTCCAATATTGTGTCAGTATATTGTGATTATGTTTGCCAAGTACAGCGATGCGCTAGACAAAGTGGACAAAATTGGTACAAGTAAATTACAAAAAATATTGTGGGCAATAATATGCTTGTATTGAAAAAAATTAAATAACGATCAAACAAAATGTCAAGCTGTCTGTCAACGATATAACCTTACAACTTCTGATCTAACGATCCAATACAGTAAAATGAATATTTATGTACTGTGACTCAACTTTGTTATTTTATAGCAATGTTTGGCTCATTTAAATAATTAAACGTACATCATGCAGATTTCAGATTGTCTGTTTTTTGGTGTAATGCAGAGTTATAGTGTTGCTCTGGTTGTGTGCTGGGTAAAGGAACCGAATCAGTGGACTAACCCTGCAACGTTTAGTTCTGTGTACTTGTTTCTTCTCAGTGTGGTGTGAAAGTCTCACTGCACATAAAATACAGCAGAAACAAAACTGTTAATAATCCACCCGTGCACTTAGTATTATATTTATTTACCACATGCTTCATTAGGCCGACCTTGCTAGCACTGGGCTGGACCTCTCGGCATAGATTCAACAAGTTGCTGGAAATGTTCCTCAAAGATTATGGTCCACATAGCTGCACATCCATGATGTAAATGCACCTTTTTATAGATTCAAAGGTGCTCTATTGGATTGAGATCTGATGACTGGAGGCCATATTGAGATTATTTGAGCTTTGCGTGGTGCATTTTCCTGCTGCCGTGGTCACAAAGGAACAGAGGTAGGTTGCAGCATTTAAATGTTGCTCACTTGGCGGTCCAACGCATGCCAAAAAAAACATCTAGACCATTACACCACCACCCATAGCCTGAACTGTTTATACAAACTAAGATGGATCCATGTTTTCAAACCGTTTACGCTAAATGATGCATCAGAAATCAAGACTCATCAGTCTTTCAAGCTTTTGTTGCCCAGTTTTGGTTATTCTGTGCGAATTCTGGCCATTGTGACAGGAGTGGCTATCGGAGTGGTTATTACAGTCACTGCTGCCTTCCTATCAACTCTGGGCAGTTTGGGACCATTTCTCTCTGACCTAGCATCAACAAGGCATTTTCAATCGTAGAACTCACTGGATATTTTACTCTTTTTCAGACCATTCACTGCAAATCATAGAGATGATTGTGTGGAAAAGACACCAGTAGATTAGCAGTTTCTGAAATACTCAAACCAGCTTGTTTAGCATCAAAAACCACACCACATTCAAACTTATTTGAATCTCCATTCTCATGCCCAGTTTAAACTTCAACGGGTCATCTTGAAAATTTCTACGTGCCTAAATGCACCGAGATGCCTTCTTACCACTAGTTAATTAGATACTTTACTATTGAAGTGCTCAGTGAGTGTAGTTTATTGCCAGTCTGATTCTGACAGAAGACGAATGCCTTAAACTATTTCATAAGCATGTTACGTACTTATTTTACCCCTTTGGAAGGAATAAACACAACATGACTTGACCTTTTTAATGAAGAAGTCATTTCATTCAAATGAATGGAAGCAGTAGACAAAAGTTATTAAATAGAGGCGATTGCAAAGCAATCATCCAACATATTTTTGGGGAGAGAGGTTTCAGCTGAGGGTAAGGCAGCAATCTGACACTGAGCACATTTGTAAAGGTCAACACCATCGCTGTTCTCTGCGGGTGCAGAGTAGAACCATCTCAAACATGACAGTGCAACATACTGAACAGGTTTGATAGCACACTCGTACATCAAATGTGACGTGAACAATATTGTGCATCTTCCATTTTGGACAAAAGCCTCAAGTGTGACTGCTGCCAATGTTCCCCAAACACCCATAAAAATGAACACTTTACCTAAAACCCAATAGATGACATTTTACAACTTTAGGTCATGTTATTGAATATTGCCAACATTTCAATATAGGTTATATAACCAGTAATTACATTTGGTGCTTGTTTATTTAGTTGCAATGTCATTCCAAAAGTTTCAGCTAAAGTGCCACCTTAAAGAAACACACATCAGGCATCGCAAAAATGGCTGCCAGTCTTAGTTTTGTATATATGGTACACAGATTTTCATTTTAAACCATTTTTAGATAACTATCTGTAAATTAAAGTAACAGCTCACCCCCCCCCCAAAAAAATCTCCTCTGTCCTGCAGAGTTATGTATCCATCTGGAATATTTTGGTGGGATTTGCCCAACTCTGGAGATGTGTGGTGTAAAGATGTCCGTCTTTTCTTGAATATAACGGGACTAAAAGACACGTGTGCTGTCCTAAATGGGTTTTTAAAAAAATCTGAACTAAAAAACAAAAAACTACTTACATTAAACAGCAGCCCAGATTAAATGAAATTTAGTCACATTATATTAAAGAGAAGGCAAACATTTCTGCTACACATGCCTCCAAACCTGTGCAGATGAGCCAAAAAAATAAAAAATCTAGATGGATGACATGCACAACAGACCAGAGGAAATAAATATCGAGCTTTACGGTAAACTGCACCTTTAGTATTACTCTTCCGATAGCACGTTTTGTTTAAATTATGTCTCAAACTCTGTAATTCAATGAATTCTATATGAAATTACACAATTAAACTTGTTTAATGATGGAGAATGTTGACCAGCCAGCCAATAAGAACCACTGCCAGCCCAGCTGAGTGACAGTCTGTCCTATCAGTCCACACATTAGTACTTTAGTAATCAAACGCTTGGTTGAATGTGCGTTTGTGTCCCCCTCTGTTGTTGCCATAGCCGCCGCCGCCGCCGTTCCGGAACCCGTTGCCACGGCCACCGTTTCCACCGAAACTCCTTCCCCTGCCGCCTCTGAACCCTCCTCTGTCACCACGGTTACCACTGCCAAAGCCTCTGTCACCACGGTTACTGAACTGCTTCTCCTCCAGCTCTGGCAGCTCTGTGGCCACAGTGAGCTGCCAACGGCGACCGTCCTGCCATGTTTCCTAATGGAAGAACAAGTTTGGAGACAAAGGATTTCAAACAGGACTGCCAGTCTGTTGAAATATATATTTTCACTTTTTTTCACATTTACAAGAAGTCAACTACATATGTTGAACAGATGTTGGGGTTATTGTTGTTCCCACCTGAATCTCCTTGACTTTATCAGCTGGGACGTCAAAACAAACTCCCTGTTAGAAAAACAATAAGCATGAGATGGCGAGTTTTTCAATGTCTGTGTCAAACAGACATGGTCACATATGTTCACTCATACTAACAGATGTCTCTCTGTTTACATGCTGTGGATAATTAGCTTTGTGCTTATTGTGCGACCAGAGAGACTCAATTCCCATACAACAGGACAATACATTATAAAAAATAAAAAATAAAGACTCACTACTCACTACTTCTCTTAATTTGCATTTTCATTTACCAGTGAGTTTCCAATTCACACTTCCATTTGCTATCATTCATGTGGCACGCTGGGGTGTGGTTTTTTCACCATTTTGCAAGAATGTACAATTTATAAGAAAGTAGAACAGTCGCTGAGCCCAGTCCTTTGTAACTGTACACACGCAGACATCCATCAACATACAACCTCTCCCCCTCTCACACAGATACCCATTATTTTACAAAGGTCTAGCATCTATGTATACACTAGCCACAGCTCACATATCTACATATTGAGTGTGTATACATACTGTTCTGCCTTTGAGGAAGGTCATTCTGTGAATGTGGTTCTCAATCTCCTCTCCTAGCTGCTCTTTGATGGTTCTCCAGGCGTAACCCAGATTATGCATCTCCTGGGAACACACCAACTGCATTGTGCTGAAACCCTGCAAAAAAACAAAAACAAAACAGAAACAACACATTAGGCAGAATTACAGTTATACATCACCTAAAGGCACAGCGCATTTCTAACTAGATGGAGGACAAGCACTATACTTAGTGGGTGGGCAGGGGCAACATGTTAGGCCTGCATGAGAACGCCCACGGGCTTTAAAACAAAGGGCAGACACAAATCTATCGTCTAGGAAAGCTGTATGTGAGGGTGAACGGTGCCTAGTACGACATAATAGCGAGTTCTGTACGCATGCATAAATAACTTACAGCATCAGAGTTGAGCAGTGACCTCTGCTCTAGACTTGTGGCTCCAGAAATGTGGGCCAGGGCAGCAGCCAGTGCATCAACTGCTCCTCTCTCCTCAATCAGCTTCTCAGCTGATGCTCTGAAGTACCCGATAGCCGTGACTGGAACAGAATCCAGAAACCTGGACACAGTATAGGAAAAGTCAACAATCAAACTCTCGCAGTCAGGAAAGATTTTTCACATTCAGCAGTGTCATGATTAAGGCAGAGGCTTCGTGGGACCACCAAGCTGCCAGTACTAAAGCATTGCCCTTGATTATTAATAACACCTTGTGGCTGACTGAATACAAGCTTTCAAATAGTAAACAATTAAAACTATTTCATACTCCTGTAACAAAATATAATTGCTTGCCCTTGGCTCTCACTCCCCTTAATTACCTACCTGACAGCATCCTTGCTTGATGACTTAATAATATCGTTGGCAGTGGGAACGCCAACTCGCCTGAATGTGATGCCCTGAAATAAGAGCAAATAAAAAATGGTTAGTTTAACAGTCACATAGGAAGGCCTCATTGTCACAGACTGTGTAAAAAGCGCCTTTATTTAGCCGGTGCCTCTTAAACACCCTCCTCTACCTTTCTGTTCTTTTCCCTTTGGATCTTATCCATTTCCTTCTCACACGTAAAGAGAAAAGACTGAGTAGGACTGATTGTGTTCTTTTTTCTGATTTTTTTACAGCTTCTTTTTTTAAAAAACAAAAGGGTAAGCCCGTCACTCCTGTTTGCCCAAGTGAGCATTTCAAAAGATACCTACTGCTTTGTTTTCTACGTAGCGCAACTGGTCCTCTTCTTTTCTTTGATAGAAGCAGATGCAGACTCCAGTCCTGCCTGCACGCCCTGTACGTCCTGAACGATGGATGTATGACTCCACATCCTGAGAATAAACACAAAAAAAAATTCAGACAAAGTAAAGATTTGAGGCTTCATCATTTTACAACATTTCTCCCTTGAAGGCATGGAA